CAGTAGAGAGCGAACTGTTTCAATTCAATTCTATGGACAGTCAATTGGTCATATCTTGGGTAGTGTTCGAGTCTTAGTACCAGAATACCTTGACGGAGTGACTCAACCACCTGGAATTAAATCACAGGTATTTGGAAGTCACTGGGGAATATATATATATATATATATATATATATATATATATATATATATATATATATATATATATATATATATATATATATATATATATATATATATATATATATACAGGTGTAGCTAGTGTCGACCCGCAGTGTGTGTGATTGATGAGGGGGTGGCACCCTAGGCTCTCTCTCTCCCGCATGGTGTTGGTGTCAGTGTGTGGGTGGGTGTTGGTTGGTGATTTATCTCTCGCGTCTCTTACCTGCCGTGTTGCAGTGTTTAATTAGCCTGCGACACACAGTTGATACAGGTTGACACAGTACCTGGGTGATGGCGGTTGTGGGTAGTGGTGGTAGTATTGGTAGGCGGTAGTGGCTGGGGGTGGTAGTATTGGTAGATGGTGGTAGTGGTGGTAGATGGTGGTAGTGGTAGTAGCTGGTGGTGGTGGTAGTAGCTGGTGGTGGTGGTGGTAGTAAAGTCATTGTTTTCTATTATTATTTTGTACTCTAATAGATGGGCTTCTGTGTGGCTTCACTTATAAGGATCAGTGTGTGTGTGTGTGTGTGTGTGTGTGCGCAACATTATAGATTGACAAGTTGCCAGGATTGGTATTAACCACAGAAGTAGTGGTTCATCCACCTACCCTCCTCACCACCACACCCACCCTCACCACCACCCATTCCCTCACCACCACCACCCTTCCCTCTACCACCCACCCCCATTCCCTCACCACCACCACCCCCATTCCCCTCACCACCATTCCCCTGCCACCATTCCCCTCACCACCACCACCCATTCCCCCACACCACCCCCATTCCCCTCACCACCACCCCCATTCCCCTCACCACCACCATTCCCATTCCCCTCACCACCACCACCCCCATTCCCTCACCACACACCCGTTCCCCTCCGCCACCACCACCACCACCCATTCCCCTCACCACCACCCATTTCCCTCACCACCACCACCATTCCCCTCCCACCACCACCCCATTCCCTCACCACCACCACCCCCATTCCTCACCCACCACCACCCCCATTCCCCTCACCACCACCACCCATTCCCCTCACCACCACCACTACACCAGGTGACGGCATGCCACTGTCTTTTGTCTTACCTGCAATCAACGGACACCTGACACCTCACCACCTGGACGCCTCCCTCCCCTCACACAAGCGTCCCATCACCACCTTTACCCCCAGGAGACACAAGGGCCGTTGTTACCTGTAGCGGCCGCGTCAGGGATACGAACCTGTGTCTTGAAGGCTTTTAAGAAGATAGTTTCGATTGGACCATTATTCTTCAGGGGGTTTGTTTTAATTTGTTTCTTAACGTTAATATATTGTTGATGGACGCTGGTGAATGGTGTGGTTAGGTTAGGTTAGTTAGTTTAAAAGCTCAGTCACTGTAATTCAGTCTTTCTCTTGTTGTTTCTTTTTCTCTTCTCTTTCTCTTCTCTTTTATGAGCTTTGAGTGTGTGTGTGTGTGTGTGTGTGTGAAGGCAATATTTTACCATTTCCATTTACAGTGAAGAAATAAGTCTAGGCACTGTTGTAGGTAATGATACTCGTCAAAAAATTTCAAAGTTTATCGTAATTTTTTTTTCCACTTTATAATCGGCTATCAGCGTGTCCAGTTAGCTATCGGAGTTTCTAATCAGGTATTGTAATTTCCAGTCGTATATCGGATCTTTCAATCAGCTATCGAATATCAGCTCCCCCACAGACCGATATCGGGGTGTATGGATTCCAACTCGATTCAGTATACCAACAACAGGAGGAGAGGGAAAAAATTCACTGCCTGCCTTGAGAGTCTGTGAACCTCAGTCGCTGCACGTAATGGAACCAGTTTGTGGAGGTGCAGGGAAAAAATTGCATTAAAGGAGACCTGGTGATGTTTTCCTGCTCGTGTGTTAAGGGTGATTTTGGCGCTGCGGCGAACCTCTGTTTTTTTTTTCGTCAGTGTGGTTTAGGATTTCTTAGTTTTCGGTTTTTTTTTCCGAAGAGGTTTACAGCGTCTTTTGTAATTTTTTGCTTGTTTTTGTTTTAAAGAGGCTTAGATGTTTGTTTTAGAAAGGGAAAGGGAAAAAGTTTAGTGTTACTGCAAACGTTCTTTTGTCATTATTTATGTTTTTTTATTTATTCGCTGAGGTTTAGATCGTCTATTATTTTGATGACGTTTACACATTAGCTTTAGAAATAGCTTTATTACTGTACAGGGCTTAAATGAGAGTATTACGTAGTTGTTTGGTTATTTATAAGGATTCTGACCTCATCATTGTCTTAAAAGAGGATACGGTTCAGAATTGAGTATTATTTATAAATTACAAGTGTATCTCCATTCTTTGGGGGCCGTCACTCCCAAGCTTCACCTGGCCTTCACTTGTCACCTGTCTCACTCCTATCATCACCTGTCACCTGCCTGCCACCACCTTCTTCCGGGTTTTCCTCCCCACCACCACTGAACACCATTATCACCAACCACCACCCACTACACCACTTACCACCTACTACCACCACACACTGATCTTCAAGAGATAGGTCAATGGGTGCGTCAGGTGCCAAACTTAGCTGTGTTGCACTCGTGGCCTGTGTGGTTCATTCACTCACTCACCCATTCCTCACCATCACCACTGTCACCATCCCTTCACCACTCACCAAACCAAGGTCTCAGTATTCCCTCACCACTATCACCACCACTATTGTCACCACAACTATCACCACCACAAACACCACCAACAAGTTATCATCAATCCCTTACCAGTTCAAAACACACACACACACACACACACACTGTACCTTACTCTGTGTGTTAAGGGTGTTTACGTCGTCTTCCCTACACGCTAGTGTTTTGTTTTCTCTTCCCGCACGTTGGCCTTCACATAATCTCTACTGGAATTATTTCTCACTTGGGGAATTTGCTCGGCACTGTAAACAATTTGTCCAACATTTGGGTCAAAGGTCACTAGATGAAGGTCAGCTTATGTAACATGACCCCGGGCTGTTTGGGTCTCAGGAGCGCAACAGGACTCTTGCTTTGTGTGACCTCGCGTCCCCCCCCCTCTCTGACCTCCCGCCCCCTTCTGCTCTCTCTCTCTCTCTAGTCGTAGACGTCAGCTTTTCCCTCTGTTGACACTTGGTATAAGGCGGCTTAGTAAACCTCTATGGTGAGTGGGAGAAGGAAGGTAGGGAGTGGAGAGGGGGGTAAGGGAGAGGGATGGAATGAAGAGGGAGTAAGGGGAGGTAGATAGAGAAGGAGGAGGAGGGAAGTAAGGAGTAGGTTGAGGAGAGGGAGGGAGGGAGGTAGGAAAGAGAGAAGGAGGAGGGGATGAAGTGAAGAGAGGGAGGAGATAGGTAGAGGTAAGGGGGAAAGGATAAGAGGAAGGTGGGAGAGAGAGGGGAGAGAAAAATAATTGAAGAGGAGTTGGAGTATATTGAAAGGTAAAGGAAGAGAAGAATAGGATGAAAGAGGGGATAAAGGTGAGAAGAGGAAGAAGGTGGAGTAATGAGGGAAGAAGAGAAGATGAGAGACAGTGAAAGATTAAGAGAAAGGGGAGCTCGAGAATGACAAGGAGAAAATTGGAAAGAAGAGAGATTGATTTGAATAGAGAGAGAGAGAGAGAGAGAGAGAGATTTGTCAGAATTTTGTTTTCCTAAAATCTTAGATACAATAATAATAATACGATTTAATTTATAATAGTAATAAACAAAGATTGTCTCTCGTATTCTCTTATATAATTATTTTAGACACAGTTAAAAGAAAGAACACCCACACACGGGGTCGTGGAGTGGGGTGGGGGTGGCGGAGAATCATATAACACAAGAGTTAAACATTCGAGCTACAAATTTGTGGATCACGTGAAGATTAGCCACCCCGAGTTTATGTCACCTGAAAAAGAAACACCCAACCCACTAGGTACTGTGTTAAAGGTGTTTAATCATCAGGTGAAATAAACATAAATCTACAGGTAATACGAGTCAGACCAGCCAGATCGTTGTCAGGTGAGTAACTCTGTAAGGTGATCATCCTGGAAACCTCGCCAGCCAGACACTAAGGGGAAAATAATATAGAGAACCCTGGGAAACACCTTTATTTATATAGATGATTAAGGAAAACGATAGACAAAGAGTGAGTGAGTGTGGGTAGATAGATAGACAGGTGTGAAGGTTGGGTACAAGAGGATGACTCATAGACAGACAGACAGACAGACAGACAGAGAAAAGTTGGACTAACCTGACACACGTCCAGTTGAGCTATCCACTTAAAAATGAACCCATGTAAAGAAATGGGTCACCTGAAGATTAGGAACCCCACTTCATTTTACTTTATTAAACACCCAAATGCTATCTGGGGGAAGGGTTAGGTTAGTTTAAATGTTAGGTTGAGGTTAGATTAGGTTAGTGGTTTGGATGTTGATCTGCAGATGAAATAAATCTTGGGTTCACTCAGGTTATTATTAGTTTTCATGTCGACTATTTTAATTTCTTTTCATATCACTAGAATCACACTTATGTTTAATGCTCTTTCATTTAAACATTCACCAAGAATTTAATATTTGTTATTTAATAATTTGTACCAAGTTATGAGTTTCGGTTATTGGTTGTCATTTATTCATTTTAGTTCAACAAACTCTTTTGTTATGTTCTCAGTCATTATTACCTCAAATAACTAGTGAATAAGAGTGCTGTGAAAATTAATTGAGGCTTTCATATTATTTGGTAAATTTCATGCAGTTATGAATGTGATTGAAGTGAACTGTTATTGGCAATTAACTGTTGATGACAATAACTCACTTTTGACTAAATTGTTATTATGATTAAATTATATTTATAGCAGAATTGTTGACTTGAATTTCCATATATTGTTCTGTCGTCAGACATAGAGGTGCGTTATGAGACTTTAGCGATGATAGCGTCACCTGAGCGGCAGACCTTGGTACACCTGGTCCGTACCGTCGAGGTGAGTGACCGACTCCTGTGGTTCTTCATTATAACAGTATTTCAGTTCTTCTTGTGGAAGTATAATAAACTTAAACAACTTAGTCAGGATTTTTTTTTTTTTTTTGCAGTTGAAGATGTTTTAACATGGACAAAATATATTATCTTGTTGACAACTTGACATTTTTACCTGTCGGGATGGCTTCTTGGATTACTGTCAGGCTTTAAAGTCTTCTGAATCAGTGTTGACTTATTATGATGAAAGATAACACAAATACAATAAAACATATATTTTTATTTTCACGTAACATCGTTCCTGTCATTTTATGTAGGTTCTTTATTATTGGTTAATCAGTTCCATGTTCTGTTTTGTTAATTACATAACGTAATTTCCACTTTATTAATTTTGAGAAGGGTGGCTGGAAACAAGCGCAAATATACACACACATTTATCTATTTTTTCTTCTTCAAAGTATTAATTCTTATTGGTCAAGAATATGTACCACTTACTACAGTAGCTGCAGAATGTTATTTGAATGCAGTATACAGTCCATGTATAATACATGTACTCAAATACATATACAATATGTGAGTACTGTACATACCCCTCTTGTAATTACTGGGCTCAGAAATGATATTTCTCACATTCTATACCATCATTACCCCTTGTTGTGTCCCTCCATATTTATTATTTTTTAAAAAGGAATTTGCAGTTGAATATAGAAACAAGGGTGAACTAAGTTAGTACAGTACTGTTAATTAGCTGCATCAGCACAGGCTGGTCAGAACATTCTGTTAGTCATTGACCCAATCAGTGAGTCAGCCAGGACTCATGTTAGCTGTTGTACCAAATTATATAACTTTTTCTGGTCTTTTACATGTTTGCTTACACTGCTGTTTTGCCTTTGCCTCCTCAGCTGTGTCGTGATCCTCCACTTGTGGGGTCTGTGTGTGCCTTGCTACATGATGCACTCTGTCCCAGTAATAAAGGTCAGTCTCTCCGCATCTTTTTAAATGCAACAGGTTGAAGTTTCATGGTTGGAGACTTATAACCACAGTGCTGTGACCCACTTAATTTGCCTCTCTTGCCATCTTCATCATTATCCAGATCTGCTGATGTTTTCTACACAAATTATTTATACAACTGAAGATCCTTATATTCAAAATGATGAATTATTTAGTAGTGATAATTTACTACTGGCTCCTCTTTTGCATTTAAAGATCAATTATTATTTGGATCAACATTCAAAATACTATACATTGAGGCAGTAACTATATAAATTTTCTCTTTAAAGTTCAGTAAGTTGATAAAGTATTTAGTTATAACTTAAAATTTGACACATATCCACCATTTTTTCAGGAGATGTACGCCACATTATAATTCAGACGTGCCTCTCACTCAACACGGCCGAAGTAATTCTACGTACCCTCAAGGCTCTGTCTGCTGATGGTTTGTCTGCCATTGAGTCATGCACACACTCGGCATATCAGGTCTTGGCAAAGTTGGCATCAAAAGGTATGCTGGAGAAATTAGTTAGTACTTAAAGAAATATTGCCTGCCATGTTATGATTGTATTTATGTGTAGTATCTTAGAAATACATAGTCTTTTTAGATTGTACTATGAATTCAACCTAAATAAATCCATTGATTATAATCTTATGTACAGTATTGAATTTATGGATTACAGTACAATACATGTACCACATTGGCATGTGAATGATTACTGTTGTTGACAACAGTGCTGATATGTGTGCTGTTACTCCTCAGACCTCAGGCTGGCAGTGAAGGCCAGACTGGTGGGTGGTGTGAAGCTGACACACCAGCTGCTGCAGGCCCACATGAAGAACAGCATCCCTCTCCTTCCCTTGCTCATGGTTACTAAATACTTGGCCAAGAATTGTAAGTTTTTGAATAGTTTGTTGAAACAATTTGAAAACAGCACTGAGTTGTTTTAGGGGGTGAACATTGAAGGTCTGTGTTACTTTTTATTCTGGTCATCCTACACTGTGGTGGGGAGAATAGGTTGATGGCTATATATAGGTACATTTTACACTAGACTATAACATATAAAATGACAGGCATGTTTGCATTGTCATAAAGGATTATTTGTTACCACTATTAATGGTAGGGTCTCTATAGCACTTGACTGCCAGCCCTCCTGTTTTATTGTAGGGAAGACCTTTCAAGAGTGAAATTATACATAAAGGGAATAATAGAAGGATAGAAAATTTTTCAAGATAACAACATTTACCATGTGGAGAGTCAGTATAATGAGATGCACCAATACCTTGCAGCCATTAACCAGGTGATGCTGGGCAAGGACGGATGTGTGGCCACGATGGCATCCATCCTCAGCTCAGTTCCCAAGACTCACTGGGCCAAGATCAAATTCATCATGGAAATATTATCACTTCTTACTAAAGTCAGTAAGTTATCGTTTCTGATATTTTCCATTTCTTGAGGCCTTATTTTATATGGTTGTTTTCTCTCCTCTGTGCTTTGTATATTTAAGTTATTTTGGTTAAAATATTAAGATTGTTTGTGTTTAAAAACATTGTGGTGTTTATCAATATCCTATTTTAACTTCAAAATTATTTTTACAGTTGATTTTTTATACACTAAGTTAAACCATTTTCAAAATCTCAAAATAAAATAAATATATATAATTGATTTATAAATATTGATTAAGAATGTTTATGTTTGTCAGATCCATCAAATATTTTTTGTAAAATTTTATTTAATTGAGCATCACATTGGCTTATGCTTACATGAATGTGTTGATGTTACTTATATATAGTAGTGTGTTGTGTGAGGCAGCAGAGACAAACTAGATGCAGTATATACTGTATCTTGAGGCCGTGTTGTGGAGGGAGTACTGTAGAAGAAGACATGTGTGAAGAAAGTTAAGAGAGGCTGAATGAAGGGAGAGTGTGATAGCTGCTGATTGTGACACCTTAAATCACAGCAAGAAAAGGCCCTCCATTTTTTTCATGCCAAAAAGGGAGAGCTGATAAATCCTATACTGTGCTGTAATTTAATTTCTTATGTTAAAGAATCAAAGACCATAAAATTTAGTGTAGTGTAGAGGCAGGCTTAAGTAGTCTCCCCTAATAAAGGTATATTACTATGCCACATGGAAAAACAGTACATTTTGGGTCAAATAAAATTCTTTCAGTTGTCTCATAAATGTACATTGTTTTACCAAAGAAAGTATTGTGCACCCATGCTGCATCACAGCCATAAATATTAGTTCTCATTATTTCATGGCAAACTAATTAGTCAACATATTGTTATACAGTACAGTGCGGTACTGTACTGGGGTTAGGTGCTTAAATTATTGTGGTTGGTGGCAGGTTAACATACCAGCAAGACTAGGTCACATGGCCACTCTCTGAGTTAAGGACATTTCAACCAGAAACACTGTAGTACATAATTACAATTCTCCATCTCATATTTTATTGCCTATATAATTTTATTTTGAATTTTGATGCAGCACAATGTAACAGTGTACACAGTGCACTCAGGAATGTACGGGAGGTATGAAGGAAGGGGATATGAGTGGTTGTTTCTGTGTCACCTTAAGTACTGTACCAGGGAGGCTGATGATAATGGTAGTGGTGTAGTGCTGTACTAGTACAGGCAGTGAGAAATGGCCAGACTAGGTCAGACCTGTGGCATTGGGTATTGTAATTGACATTTGAAGATAACAAGTAACAAGTTTGTCATGAAGGTTGTTAATGGGTGGCCATGTTTAAATTTGATAAATGTCTCGTGCTTTACAGATAAATATATATATAATCTTGACATTTATATTCATGTGAATTTGAAAGCATAATGCCTTGTTTAAAAATTTTATATCGTTGTTAAATTATTTTTATTGTTATTATATCATATTATTTTGCAATAATTTTGATGTTTTTATTGCCTCTAATGTCTTCCTTTAGTGCTGTAATTATTTTAACCTTTCATTTGTTTTCTTATTTTCTTACACTACTGGTCAACTTTCCAAAATGCATGGAGGGGCTCAGTAGATGTACACGGTCAACACTCTAGTAGAATCATTGGTTGGTCTTAGCCGTCTCAACAGATTCCTCCTCCTTAAATAACCATATCTGCATTTCACTAAGCTGCTTATTAGCTCACTTCTTATCTTGATTAAAAAGTAAAACCAAAAGTGTTAAACCTGATTGGGTAGTCAGTTCACAGGACATCCTGCTCTTTTTATTTCTCTGTTAGGTGTTTTGTTATGTCGTAGGTTATATACATTTACAGTAAGGACTTTGTTGTTCTGAAGATATGTGGTGTATAAGTTGCGTGTTAATGCTGGCAGTTTTCTAATTATTTATATGTTCTTCCTTGAAGTAGACATTCAGTACCAAGGATGCACACTTTGTTGGATATATCTCCAACAGTGTACAATATCCCCTGAATTCAATCTCTAGGCACCTTACTAAATATTTCTCCAATGGATGAGATCAATTGGGTGAAGAGGTGCATGAGTCTAAATATATAGAGATGGAGAGCCAGGGGTAGGCTAGGAATGACATGGGGAGAGGTTGTAAGAAAGGACATTAGAGTTAAGAACCTGACAAGAGGGACTGCAGGAGACCGTGCAGCATGGAGAGCTAAGACAGATATTAGTTGGTCAGTGCTTAGAAAAGTATTTGTACAGTATAAATATTTATGATCCAAGTTTGATAAATGTGAGAATAATGTTCTACAAGTGGGTGGTGGTAGAGGCTGATCCTGGTGGGTGATGCTGGGGTGATATATGAAGTGGAAGGGAAAAACCAGTTGGATATGTTCAAGCAACATAATAGAGAACATCTAGTAAGGCAGACAGAAAGGACAAATGCCAGTGGATGAGGGAAGGTCTGTGTTGCTCTTAATTTTAGCCACCTGTTGCAAAAATTGGGTAGTTGTTTTTGTCTTTTGCTAATACATGTGATAGGATAGGGGGTAACACCTCTTAGTTTGAGAAGGGCAGATGGAGAATTGTGGAACGTTGATGGACAAAGAAATCAGTAAAATTATATCTTTTGAGTTTTTATGTGGTGAATATCTCGGGAACCAAGTCTTTGTCCTGAATAACCCATCAGATTTACTTTTTGGATAAAACACAGATTATTTTAAGTGTTATTGTGTTTTAGGTATTCCATTTCAGCTATCCAATAACTTCTTTCACATTTGTAATATTTTGCAACAATTGTTTTACTTAAAATTCTTCATAGCGTAGAATGATATTGATGGATATTTTTCAGTATCTTAATTTTTTCTAATAGATTCTTGTAATACTAAAATGAACAAGGAACACAGAAATCCTTTTTTATGTTGTAGGCTGTACATCATACCCCAGATTCTTACTGGTGCTTGCTTCTTTTGTTTGACCATATAAATCCTAATTTCTTAAATTGATGAAGCTTATCCAATGTCAGACTTTTATTTGCTTATGCTTTTAGAGATGTAAAGCCTCTGTACTATTTTTCTTTCCCTATTTTATTAATTTGCTGTACATAGTATACCATTACTACTCTTGTGACTGTTGGATAAGTTTGCACTCAAAGGTTGAGTGTAGACTTCACTAATCAGTTTAGATGTAGAATCACAAAAAATTCTCTCTTAACTGTATGTCATTGGCAAGCACTTTTCTCTGTAGCAAATGTGAGCCCCCGACTAGCAGCCATTGTTCGGGCTAACGGCCAAAAGCTCCAGGCCCTTCTTAACTATTTCTTTGGTAAGGGTTGGTGTATGGTGTGGGTGATGGTGCATGTCTGACCTTGACCATTCATACAGGGAATGGTGCAAGGTCGCAGGTATATACTCTACCAGCTTATCTTGATGATTATTTAATCACCCAAGTCTTAAGTGGTGAGTAGATTTGTTATCTTAAGTCATAAGCTTAAAGCTGCATTAATGACTCGTTTGTTTAACATTGAGCAAGAGATCTCATTGTCATTATTCAGTCCCCAGAACCTCTAGTGAGCTCAGGTTGGGGATTTAGTACAAAGTCTGTTTAACCTAACATGATAGGTCGTCGGCTTTGCTAATTACCGTAAGCATTATTTGCAATGATATTGAATTCATACAGTATTGAAAGCCAACCAGTTGTAAATGGCTGTAATGCCAGATGATCTGGAATGCTTTGCATATGTTAATTGTTGCAGATAAACCATTGAATATGCTCTACTGTGTAAACATCGTGAGAGGAGGCAGCAAATTGTAGCACTTGACATGTGAAGACACAGTCAGGATAACATTACACAGCAAATAATAGAAACCAAGGAATGGTAACTGGCAATGAATTAAACAGTGATAGTATCCAACTTGAAACACAAGTCAGAGTGAGAGTTATGGAAGTTAAATCAAACTTCTTCAGATCATTTCCAGTTTTCATTTGTGGGTTTTATTATTTGTTATTTTATACAGAAGTAACTGGAAAGTCATCCTGTGCTACCCAAGTACAGAATGTTGTGTGACCTAGTAACCAACAAGAACTTCTAGCACTAGCTTGAGGCTGTCACCAGGAGTGTTTGCCATACTGTAGGACAACTCTGAATGTATACTAAACAAAGTGCAACAAGAAACTTGCATATTACTGACCATAATTTAAATTTAAGACTTTAAGATCAATATTTTGATTAGTTGTATTATTTTGTAAGGTATAGTTTATTTTTAAGATCTTAAAGCAAAGAAGTTTGCAAAATATTTTTACATGGCAGAGTGCATGTGTCTGTCTTTAATAAATAGATAATGAAACAAATTTCACTGACTCAGAACACTGAGTTCAATAAGGATTTTCCAGTTACTGGTACGTAGTCTAATACAGTACAGTACATGAAATACATTACAAATAAAGGAACACCAACCTGGATTATGCAACAAAATTTTAATTTAGGTTCAATCAATCTTCAGTTTTATTCTGTAAATACCAGTGAACAAATCATTTATAAGGTGGACATTATGGAAAGTTTACTACATTTATGGCCCCTTATCCCTACTGATTCATCTTGTAATATGTCTAACCAAAGTGATTCACTCATGCTCTTATCTGCTTCATCTTCTCTCTTTGTATACCAGGTGTATTTATAGAATATTGGTTAATCAATGTACAACTATCTTTTTGCTGGTACATTACCATCTGGGATCCTAACTACACCTATTATCCCCTCCTTTGCACTTTTACCCATCTACCAATTTTTTTTATCTCAATGATCAGCTTTTCCCTTTAATGATATTAATCATGCTTGGTTTCCCTAAAGAACCACCTTCAATCCTATCCATATTTTAGATTTTGAAGCTTATGTTTTCCACAAAAATTGATAATCATCCCCATCATATTTAATACCTACAGTATATTGTTAAATACGTAAGCTAAATTGCAGATATGTATAAAATGAAGATGAAACAGGGTTGGGTGAAATTGACTGTCAATCTTCCATTATTTGTGTATCCAACCAAACTGCCATTGACCCCGGTTCTTCGAGAATATCTTCACTGTACTCCAAAACTCATTGTCTTATTAAACCCAAAATTTGCAGAGAGTAACGTGATCCGCTTGGTGCGAGAGTCGGGCCTGCAGCGGGTCTTGGCCATTCTAGATGCCTGGGAGAAGATAGAGCGTCGGCATCAGGTTAAAGTCATCAAAGCAATCTTAGGAACACTGTCCCATGTGTGTGACTCAAGTTAGTACAGTACCAGGATTTTTTTTTTTTTTTATGCTTATTACAGGAATTATGATATTGTAGACAAATATCTATACTATACCTGATGTGTGATTTGACTACAATAGTATACTGTATACAGATTTTTATCATGAGAACTGATATTTTGTGAGTGCATTAATATATGATATGATACAAGAGATTAATGATATAATGGATTCTTCCTTATTATTTTATTATTATCCAGCCAATTCAGAGAGCTAGGAGATACTGTACAGCATTCATGTTTTCTGTATGTCTGTTAATTTAAGTCATTATGGATATCAGTGACAACCTGTACATGTACTGGTATGTGAAAATCTATTTTTTGTGGTACAGTAACAATGTCTCCAGAGTCTGTAAAGGAAAACAAACAATATCCCAAGATACACAATGTCCCCATCAGTATCAGGAAAATTAGATGTACTATTCAGTATAGAGTTGGATGTCACATCGGTATATCCGCATCTGATGAGCATCCGCAAAATGTTCACATCCACATCTAGAAGATGCGGATCTATAAAGCTTGGGCTTTTTATAATAGTATATTAGTATAATACTACTGTATATAAATATTTTCACACACACACACACACACACACACACACACACACACACACACACACACACACACCATCCATCAAAATAACACCTGAATAACATTACCAGTGGCTCTTTGAGGCCCATTTGATCGTGAACTATTTTCATCCCTGATAATTAATTCTGTCTCTCAGTTCTTCTAAGTAACTTTTATTAAGTGTTAGTGTCCTTTAGTTGAATTGTTCTGATTTTACATTACTTTACAGAAGATGTCCTAATTTTGTATATACTGTAGTACTGTTCGCATAAGCCCAAAAATATTGGATTTCATTATCAGTTGTATGATCACAAATTAATATTAACTCATATGAATTTCTTTTAATTAACATTGGAACTGTTTTTACAGAACATGGACGTAAGGCTGTGATTACTCTGAATGGTGTGGAAATCGCCCAGCGCTTCATACAGACATGTCCTGCTGACAAAAAATATGACGGGAGCCTTGCCAGCGCCACGAACGTTTTCCTCAAGTGTGCTAGTAAGGGAGAGTTACCCGTGTCTTCCATACGTATGATTTACCTACCAAGTGCCAAATAGGGCTGACTCAGACCTTAGTTCAGGTACCATATGCAGATGTATGTCTGAAATGTTTTATTTTATTTACATAAGAGTCTCCACAAGATAGTTGCATTGTCTGTATTAATGAATGATTTTTTTTTATTAGTAGTAATGAGATGATGTTCTGAACTTGGAATTATTTTCATCAAGGTCAGCTACCTATAATTTTTAGACTTCTTTTTTATAACAACGTATGTGCTTGTTTTACCATTATTTCACTTAATGAATTGGTCCTGTTGCCTCACAGATATACCTCATGAAGTAACCCCTGGTTCATGGTGATTCATCAGATGATGAAGCAGAAGAGGAGGTGGAGGATGAAGATGAAGATTTTGAGTTGTCAAGAGACATGAAAGGAATAGATTTGATTTCAGATTATTCTCCTCAACGACCCAGGATGGAGGAACTGGTGAAGTTAGCACCTTTCTTCCCTGAACTAAATAATTTTCGGGTTTCTGCCAGTACGAGGTTTAGAGATGCCGTGTTCTGCTGGAGAAGGTTTGTTAAGAAACAAGTCAGTTGTTAACTTTCTAAGAGATGTTACAACAAGTCTTTAGACAACTTTTCTTATTCATCTCCTTTGAAACAGGAAAATGCTCTATTCAACATTTATGTAACACATTTATGTAGCATCTTCCACTACAGAAAATGAGCACTTCTACAGCATCTTTTACTCACTCACTCACTCAATCAATCTTATCTTCCACCCTTCCTTAATCTTCATAAATGTACTACTTAAACCATATCACCTATTCTTACTTCTGTTTACCAAATATCTGTGAAGTACATCATTCACCTGCTGTACTACTACATGTGCAAGAGCTATAGATTTACCAAGAATATTTTAGACAATGTTTAAAGATTTTTTCAAGTAGTTAAAAATATTAGTTGCCATTTACATTAGCAAAGAAAAAATGTGAAGGGAATATAGATTGTTGAAGAAAATGTATGTAAAGGATAAGGTGAAGTTGAGAAATATATAACTTTTCAGAAAATGTTGGCGAAGCAATTCCAACAGGCGGCAGGTCAGAGCAGTACTTTGTGCCGTCAGACGCCACCAAGAGCCTGATAAACTTTGTCAAGGTTGCCTACCCAGACATGGTGGGTGCTCTGGCCCGTTTATCTTGAGGAGTTGTATGAAAAGGATCGTAAAGTTTGCAGGTAGGATTGTGTGGTTTTTATAAATGATATTATTATTTTCCTTCAAGCCTCTATCTGCTTAATGCAAGGTGGAAGGAAACAAAACCAAGTATTTATTTCCACTGTTGTCTTTTGTTAATTGGTCTTTCTTCTTTGTTTCTGCTGTAATAGATGTGTTCTGTTATAATACTCCCCTTTCACCACAAGGCCTATGTCACTTCAAACAAGCGAGCATCATTTGTCAGTGGCCAGCAACTCACTCTGTATCATCCATCATCCATGCACAGTTCTGTTCTTTGTCTGTTCAACTTCCTCACATATACGATAGTTCATCCTTCACCCCATCTTAAAATGTCCTCTTTCATTTCCCTTTCACTTCACATATCAAATCCCTTTTAGTACACCTTCCTCCAAGCTCATTCACTGTTAACACAAACTAACCAACCAAACTTGCTCCTTTCTCCATTTATTTTGCCTTAGTCTAATTCAATATACTGTTTGTGTCACGTAGAGCAATGTGGAAACCATATTAGTCTTGAATAGTTTTATGGTGGATGTAAAATAGCAACTTTTTCCCATATCAGAACAGGGCCATCGCTACTGTCGAGCGCTGACTTCACCCAGAAATCTACATGGAGCGAGTTGTGTATGACTTGGATTACCTACTAGAATCTGAACAGTCAGGACAACTAATCACTCCTACTAGTAGTACATCAAGGTGTGTATGTAAATAGGATGACTTAATTGACTGAGGGTAATATTTCAATAGTAAAGACATCAGTTCTTAAGAGACCTGAAAAAGTTGTACCCTTAATGATTTGGTTGATGTTAATATATAAAAGCTTAAGCAACATTTTCTTATGGAGTTATAATTACTACTATAAAATCGCTTGTTTCAGTTAGATAAGCATTACTTTCATTCATTCTCTCACACTGTTGAAGCAGATGTGTTCTGCTGTGATGAAAAAGATGACCATCTGAAGTATTTTGACATGATTTTAAAAAGAACTAATTCCATAAGGAGTGTTGCACAAGGGAGGAATATATCAGATTTTTATGAGTATATTCTGCACTGTACTTATAGAGATTGAATATTGTAAGGAATCTCTTTTTGTATCATTTACTTGAAATAAATTATTTTGTATTGTTCCAGACCTCTAAGTAACTTGGATGAGAAACGTGTTGGTAAACGAGATGTGGCTGTTTCCCACCTCAACTTTGAGTCTAGATTTGAAAGTGGTAATCTGCGTAGAGTGATTCAGGTGAGTCACAAAATATGATGAGACAGAAACTCTGTCTGCATTTTTTCACAGTTGTTATCATAAATAAATAAAATTATCCATCCTGAACTATACTGTAGTGTATCCTTTTAGTTTTATCTTCATGGAAATTATTACTTTCAGGCATCCAACTCTGAGTACGACTTGATTCTGAATGCTGATGTCAACTCCTCTCACCATCACCAGTGGTTCTATTTTGAAGTGAGCAACATGGAGCCAAACAAACCGTATATTTTCAACATTATCAATAATGAGAAGCCAAATAGTGAATTTAACTTTGGTAAGTCATTGTCATAGGATTGGGCATCAAAGAATATATCCTCAGATAATGAATGAAATTGTTGGATTAAATAAACCATTACCGAGGGTATATTAAAAATACAGATCAATGAGAAATGCCACAAGTTGAAAGAGCTTTGATTATGCTGTGTAGAACTGTAGTCTTGTTGCTGCCAAAGAAAAACAATCTAAATGATGGATTCCCATTTGATAGTTTTGTATTACTCCCATTTGAGTTTCTACAATACAGTAATTGTATATTTTGCTACTTACAGTATATACACTGATCTGTGACTTATGAGACTTAAAGCTTTCTTGACAGAGTGCAGTATAGTACAGTAGTCTTAATTTTTCTTTCATCAACTTAATTTTCTTATTTATGAAATTGGTCTTCCTTAAGTATATTTGATAGAAGTTAACGTACATAAAATCTAAGTAAATTTTGTGATTGTGTCTTGCAAGTCATTTAACTCTTACTTTTCTTAACAGGTATGAAGCCAGTAATGTTTAGTGTACAAGCAGCCATGCAGGGACAGGCTGCTTGGGTCCAGACGGGATATGACATTTGCTACCACAAGAATCATTACTCCCGAGTACCAAAAAGTCATGATCATGTTCGATTTAAGAAATCAGCCAACAATGCTACTACACAGCAACGTTCACTGTGACATTCCCCCATGCATATGATGTGTGCTATTTAGCTTATCATTATCCATATACATATACACAACTTCAGGTGAGTAATGTGTCTTTGTTTTTCAGCAGCTTGACTATTGTGTGTACTTGTATGTGACTACAGGTTGACTCTCTTATCTGGCATTCCATCATTGACTGGCAGCTCCCAATTAATGACATGTTCAACCATCATGTAGTTGCCCAGCTGATCCCAGACCCTATTCTACCATTATTTTATGACATTCAAACACTACCACTTCATAAAACAAAATGATAATCGTAAAATAAAACAAACTGTAATTTAAAATAAAAGACTCAAGGTCAGTGGCAGCCTATCTATCTTGGCTGGAGCTGAAGCTTCTCCACTGTACTGACTGATGTATGATACTATGATCCTGAAGATGAAGAGTTCTACCAACTCATATAGAAATTACTTGGTAAGTCCCTTGTTCCATGGTTGTTGTAGAAGAGAGGATCAACCTGTAGTAATATAGCCGCCCTCTAAAACCTCTTTGGCTTTTAAAAAAATTGCCTGTGTCATATCTCGGCTGAATAATTTGTCTCATCAACCTGTTAGTCTATAGTATTGACAAGTCTGGGATGATGGACATCTCACAGAAGTAATTACTTGTGTACAGTGCATAACTATTGTCAACATGTAAAATTTCCAGTTGCTGGTATTTATCTAACCAGTATTTTTATTATTTTATAAAGTGAAGAAACCTCAGCTAGATATGGTGAAGAATGTACACAAAATTTTCCAATTTGTCTGAACCCTTTCACATTCTTCTTCTTTATCTCACATGTTATGTCTGTCAGATTCATGCCTTTGTTTACCCTTTTGTCTATTATTCATTTTCTCATGCCTGGACTGTTCTTCATATATATATTCCTCTCTTGGCAGACCTACCTCAACAGACAAGACTCTCGATTATATTATACTAACATTAACTGATTACATCATTAACCAGAAGTATTGACAAATATGTTGCATGGATAAGTTTAATAATAAGGAAAATCTCTGTATTTGAAGTTTCTTCGCTATTATAAAGTGTAATTGTATTTTAAAATGATTAAGATATACTGTACTATACAGTACTGCTTCTGTTAATTTCACTCTCTTTCAAGCTTTTTCTCATCATAATGTAGAGTGGCACTGGCTGAAATGAAGAGCACCTACAGACTCTCCCATGATTTGTTGCCATTCTTTTTGCTGCAACAGATGCATTGTTATAGTACAGAGGTCCCCTGCAAATGTTCAGGTTTCAGTTTAAATTCATTTCATAAAATGGCACAATCATGCCACAAAGATTTCTTGGGGGAAATATGACACTAGGAACACTCACCTTGAAGCCAATTATGATCCCGCTCAGCAGAAGAGTTTCAGCAGAATACAGACAATAAAAATGCATCTCCATACGTGTTAAGATATATAGAATATATTGTTAGCCCCTAAGACTTGTATACAAAGGTGTAGATTCACAATGTTAATAGAACAAGTTTGTGTGAAACAATTTGACATCACGATCGAAGAATTTTGACAGCCCTGCTGAGGCAACACGAGTCATATTGATCGTTTTGAAATTCATCGGACCTGTCTGGACAGATACTTTTATTTACCATGTGTACAATGACTTGCGTCAGGACATACAGTATATTGATACCATCCATCTTGAGTGTAAGAATCACGTCATAATATTTCAGACATTATCTTGGCTTAATAGAAAAGAAAGTAAGGATTTTTTTTTCAAATATCAGGAAGAAGAATCTGTCTTGAATTCTGAAAAAGAAATAGTTCATTACTGCTTAAGTTGTTTTAAAAGCATAACTCTTCATGTTATGTGTACTCTGCATTGTTTTTGGTTATTTTTCCCAGGATAAAGAGGTGATCGTCCTAACTGCTCGAGTGCATCCTGGAGAGAGTAATTCCTCGTGGGTGATGGAGGGGGTACTCAACTTTCTACTGGGAGACTCGCCTGAGGCACGCTTGTTGCCTGAAGTTCATATTCAAAATTGTGCCAATGTTAAATCCTGAGGGAGTCATACATGGAAAGTAAGTACTGAATGTGGTTACCCTTTTTCTGGGGTGTAGATTAATGTTTGTAATTCCTTGAGTTGGAGCTTCAAGAGAACAATAGGAGTCACTGTTTGCAGTAGAAGTAGTACTGCTAGTAAACCCTCAGAAACAGATTTCTCAATACTGGATATTCCCAATAATGGAAGTTTTCTTGCCCACCTGCCTTTTAGTACTCAGTCAGTAGGATCCAATATCAGGAACATTGTCTGATATTGTCTATGTGGTCAGTTGGTGCATGTTAGAACTTGGTAGACTCATCATGGCTAACAATGTTTACAGGACAAAGCCAAACAACACTGATGCTGGTGCACAACTGTACACAGAGCTTACATACGTTAAGCGCTAGTATTTCCTATAAGCACATTTTATTATAAACTATTACAGTACAATACACTACTGTATATCATAATTTGGTATTTTCAGCCATTATGTAGCTTATAGATTTATATTTAAATATCTCATTATCTGATGGGTTTGTCTGGAAAATAGTAAATTATGAAACATATTAAGAGTTTTTTACTAGAATGTGCATGGAGGAAATATTATTTTGTTTAACTTAAGTAAATAACTTATGTAAACTCTCTGTATAGTTATGCACAAACATCAGTTTTGTTTGGCTTTGTTTTGTTAACATTATCACCAACATTTTTGTGCAATTTACTTGCACCATCTCTGTGTTACATTGCCTTCTTTATGCCAGGTTAGCACAAAAAGTGCAAGTACTGAAGCCTCATTATTAAGGTAAGTTAAATTTGTATCGTACAGTCCAATATTCATTGTCCAGGAATGATGTGTGAATTTTTCATCGCTCTGTACATGGAGCTGGCGGACGTCCACCCCACAAGGGGTCACAACTCAAGGTTGAAGAAGCCACAAGTCCAGAAAACTGTGAGGGCAAACTTTTTCGGAATGAGAATTGTGAACTATTGGAACAATCTGTCAGAGAGCGTTGTAATGGCACCGAATGTGAGCTCATTCAAGGCCAAACTTGACCAACACTGAAGCAGGTTCCAATATATTCAGGAGCCAGTGCATGCCCAGTACCTGCCAACAGTGTGTAACAGAGACATGACTCAAGTGGCTAACTAGCCGATCAGTGGTGAAGAGGATAAAAACAAAACAAAAACAAAATTAAACTTTTAAAAGTCAGGGGAAAGTTTGTGATTCATGAATGATGGAGAAACTGTGAATGGGGATTTGTTTATGAAGTGGGAGACTTAATGGAATGAGAGAAGTCTTTCAAAATAACTTTGTGCAGTGGCAGTACAGTATCTGCTAATACTGTTGATGAAAGTTTATCTAGCAACCAACCCTACTTATCTTATTGGGAATAAAGAAGAAGTGAGAGAGACCTAATTAAGAGATTATGAAATTAGTTGGCCTTATGTCAGAATGTTCTTGGAATAAAATATCTTTAGCACAGACATACAATTTATTACACAAGATGAATGATAATAAACTATTGGAACTATGAGAAACAGTAACAATAGTACATAATATATTGCACTACATAGATGATAAATGAACACCACACAACATTACATACAGTATATGTTTTAAAATCACTGTGAGCTGCCATCATTAAGAGCCCAACTAAATGTTTCCTTCCTACTGAGGATGGTTGCGTGTAGTGTTGTGTTTTGTTCACTGTGTCTGGCTCCACAGAGGTAAACTCATGAACTGGAAGTTGCAGCAGTTGAAGGTGAGGAATGAGATCAGTGGGAATGATCTCATTGTTGAAGGTTGCATTATCAGGATTCTCCAGGCTCACATTTATCAAGGACATCAACTTTAACTGCCCCTGTGGTGGTGCTGTTGGAGGCATTATCTTGGTCATTTGTTCAGGAGTGGGGGACATTATCTTGGTGACCTGTTCAGGGGTGGGGGACATTATCTTGGTGACCTGTTCAGGAGTGGGGGTGACCATAACTTTAATATTTGGTGGTGTTGGTGTCATTATTTTCAGAGGAGACGGTGTGACCATGACCTTAATATTTGTTGGTGTTGGTGTCATTTCTTTCAGGGGCGTAGGAGTGGTGGTGATAAGGGATGAGATTGAAACTGTGTTTTCAGAAAATTCTGATTGATTAGAAACAAAGGGTGAATCTTCACTGGGATTAGGTTGTGCTTGTTGTTGCTGCCTGTGGTTCACTGTTGACTGGTGAGATGCTATGTGTGTCAGTGGTCTGACAGGGCGAAGAGGTGGTCTGCTTGTGACTTGAGTGACACCAGGTAAGATGGTTGTGTTCCTGGGGATGAAATCATCATGCTAGAGTTAACGTAGCAACACATTGTACAGTATATGGATGTTGGTTATATTTACAGCTGATGTTGACTGTAATAGTATTACACCATAATTTAACTAGTTAAAATTCTGTCATCTTATACAATCTTAAGGTAGCTTACTTCACCATTAGTATACTATATATTAAGGTACAGTTTATACGTATTACTCAAACTGCATTATGTTTTAGCATTATGCAAACAAATGTAAAGAACGTCCACTTTAAAAAAATAATATAGTACAGGTATTGTTAAAGTTTGTAAAATCTTGGTTAACTTTATTCTTACTTCAATCCAAATATGAGTGTTCACGCCTTCCTTCCAGCACACTTTAAATACTCTATCTAACATATACTGATGCCACCATTCACGCATATGCTAGCTTGGTCAAGCAATACAGAGTCACAGCAGAGCGAGTTTAACATGGAAAAACAGTAAAACAATCAAGATAAATCAGACAAGCGTGCTCCTCCACCCTACAAAGGCTAGGTATAAACATTACCTGCTCTTACCCCTGAGGTGTTCCTTGGTTGGTTGTCACGTAGTTATAGTAGAAGCATCGGGTCTGTTCACAAATGAAGTGCTTGGCATCCATGCAGTTTTGTGCTGACCAGGTCTCTCTCTCAGTGCTCATACATGACAGTTGGGACTTGCTGTTTGTTGTAGAGAAGCAAAAGAGGATGATAGTTACCCAGACTCACATAAAGAATAGTAGATATTGTTACAGGATTCACAAACCTCGTTAAACATACGAACCATGAAAAAATGATTACAAAATAGATATCCTCTTGAACTCTTCACTTCTCATTCCATAATGCATAAGATCAATAAATGAAACTGAAAATTGCAATCTGTGGCGGATCATCTGGAGCTTCCCAGTACTGTATATATATTCCTTATAGTTCCTCCATTAGCAACTAAATTAACTCATCGTGTACCTACATTAATAAAGTACTCTAGTACCGATTTTGGTCAGGATCCTTCTGTTTTCAAAATGTGTCTCATAGTTGTTGTTTTTTTTTTATAAATGGGTTAAAGAAATATATCCTGGAAAAGTCTATGCTTACAAAATCAAGGATATATTTTTTCCAAGCTCCATGATGCTCATATAGTAGTTTTCCATTACATAATTCAAAATTGTCTAATTCATACATCTGAATTAAATGACGTTTTCCACTGAGCTTTTCCTTTCTACTATCTGCAGGGTAAGCATAAACTCTGCCTGTATTGTATATGTGTTTAGGTGTGAGAGAGAGAGGGAGACTCACGTAAGAGGAGGACCTCCAGCTGCCCAGTTGTTGAAGGTTGTGTTGAAGGGCTGGCCAGTGCTCATCCAGATCCACATCTCTGACCCCAGCTGGTTACCACTTGTCCAGTAGTCACTTGTGATATAGTCTGGGGGAGGATTGTTATGATTCAGTTTTGGACATGAATGTGTTAACTGTTTAGAAGGATAAGTTATTGTTGTGTCAAACCTAGACAACCTAAACAGTAAATTAAAATAATCAAATATCTTCCACACAGTCGTCCTTCTTAAGTTTTGTTTGACTGGGAAATAAGTGACAGCGCTTAAATGACTTTTCATTTATTCAAACAGCAAAGAACTTGAAGTTTGTGTTCATGTATGTTGTGTTTGTGTGAGTGTTTGAATGTGTGTATATGCCATCTATGAAATGTTTTCAGTGTATTCTGTTATTTTAGTAAATCATTGAATATATTCACCTGTTATATTTTGATGGGTATATATTGGAATTACTCGTGTTTCTGAACCTGTTTGTGTGTTTAAGCATGCCTGTGTGAGTATTGTGCATGTAGACGTGCTAGTTCGTGCTCAGTTAATACTCACCGTTGTTTCTGAGGAAGTCGGTGAGTTGGTTGGTTTCCTCCAGCCTCTCAAAGCTGAGGAGTTCCATGCCAATAGTGCGGCAATACTCGTAAGCCAAGAACCAGTTGAGCTGCGGGGAGTAGGGCGACGCGTTGGAGATGAAATACCTCGAGTTGGCCACCTCCACTGTCTGGATCCTCTGACCTGTAGCCAGAGATAATGAGAGAGGGGTGAGAAGCTGCTGTAGTGAGAGAAAGAGGGGGATGAGACGCTAATTTTAGAGAGAGAGATTTTGGAAAATATTAGAAACATAAATAGTGAAGGTGAAAAGCTGGTGCCTGTGTGAGAGAGAGGCTGCTGTTATCAAGTCAGGATTCTGTTTTGGTTCTCAGTTGTGCACACGTAAGAATGCACATAAAAATTCATAGCCATAGATAAATGTACACATAAATATACACATAACCCTACAAATATACAGTATACACACACACACACACACACACACACACACACACACACACACCAAAGGGCCCACAATCACCTAAGAAGTGGTAGTTGACAATAGCTGTTTATAATCATTGAATAAAATGAATAGACATGAAAATAAACTTGAGTTTAATGAAATACACAAATAAGCATACAAATAAATACAGGTTAAGTGATAATAGCGATTCTGTATAACGAGGGAGTGTGGGAGGAGGGTGAAGAGTGTGTGAGGGAGGGGCGGGGATACTTGACACATAAAAAGGTGGAAAATCACTGGTTTAAAGGGAATGAACTTATTCACAAATGACATCGAGGCAAAAAAAAAAAAATGATGGTCGCTTTTCTATTTAACACTCACCCCCTCTCCCTCCCACACACGCCACCACACACGCCACCACCCGTCAACACTGTCTTATACTGTATTTTCTGTTTCTATAATACAACACACACGTATATATACAGACAATTAATGAAACAATAATAATCAAATACACGCATACTTGTTTAAATGAAAATGCTCAAACACTTGATTAAAACAACGCAAACACACACATACACTTGCTTAAGTAACATACATGCACTTAGTTAAAAAAACACATATATAGATACCTAAACAACACACACTCACACAACACACACTCACTCACACACACACTCACTCACTTTCTTAAACAACAAACACAGAGCACAACCGTAGTAACATACAACACCAGTAATTTGTTTTGGGGGATTTTGTTAAATGCAAAGTTATCTGGTGGGATTTTGTTCACGGGTAAAATAGTCAGATGGGATTTTATGTGTCGAGATTTGTGTTGGTACAGCACTTGGGTTTACACAGCGACTTACCTGCTGCCAACAAACCCAACACTGCCAACACCACAACCACCACTGCACGACGCATCTTGTTGTTAACCCTGAGCTCTAGGCTGCTGCTGTTAACCTCTTGTTCTCTTGCCGCTGTGCCCGTATTTGTTAATTATCTCTTATCGGGTTAAGGCAAATTTAACTTTGAAGAGAAGATGGACAAATTTTCAGTGTGCAGTGGATTTAGCTGAGGGAGGGAGGGAGGCACGTCTGTCTACTCCACCGCCGCCACTGGACTGATGACCTACCCTTGTCTGTACTGTATAACCCTTCCTGTCGCCTCCTCCTCCGCCGCTCTCCCTTCGTCCTCACCTCAAATTGATCTCTCAGTTCATGAGGTTTCACTGATAACGTCTCCCTCGGCGAGAATATATTTTTAGAGGTTGATGCTCCTTTTTTCATGACGTCATGACCTGTTAGGGGGTCGTCATTCTTGTCATTCATAGTCCGTTAATTTCTTGTTCTTCCTCCTCTCTTGCCTATCTTGTAAATTTAGTCATTCTATATAAAAGAAATGCTATATATTATCCTGTTAGTTGTATGGTTGAAATATTAACATTGTTTGCCTACGAATTATCATATCTTACAAATTGATTAATATAGTATGAATGTTAATTATGATGCGAATAAATAAAATATCTAAACAGGATGATACCTATATTTTAGTTATAATAATGAGAGAATGCTTCAGCTATCTTAACGGGATCATGTGACATTTCAGCCTCTTCCGAATGTTACGGTGTCGGCGGGAGGTGAGGGAAATTCTGGGCATTTATGATTGTTAACTGGGGGAGGAAGTTTGGCAAGATGGAACCTACTCACCCGAGATGTGTTGGATAATATGAAATCTTTGTGTTTTATCCTAATTTTATTTATATTTTTCGTTGTGGGGATTTATAAATTATTAGTACTTTAATGGTGATGTCTTTGAGTATGAAATCAACTTCTTCATCCCAGCCCCTCTTCCCCCCCCCCAAAAAAACTCGTGTATATCAGAAGGTCACATTAGGTCATCAAGTAAGATCAGGACACCAGCACCTCACCGTTATAACTGGGGAAGACTTATTTTACGATGCATTGTGAATTTGTGTGACTTCCTTACCCTTGTTTGTACTGATTTGTCTATTTAACTTATATCCATTGTTATTTAAGCCTTTTTTGTATACTGTATATGTTAAATTAATTTCTGGTTTATGTTATTTTTTACTTAATATACACTATTTTTATATGTATATACTGGATGAAGTTGTTAGGCTTGTGTGTTGTATTCGTTACTCTTCGTTCGCATTAAGCCTAGTGTCAGAGATGGTGGTGTCGTATTTGGGCTATTTGTTGGTGTAATATTTTCGCTAGGATACCCATCTTCGCCAGGGTTATTGAATTTATATTTAGGCAACCTCGGGAGACACGCGAATAGTGGTGATGTCATTTCAAGGTCAGTCAAGGTATTATTATCTGGAGTCTACCCGCCAGCGGCTACGTTTTCTCTAGTGTGAGAGGAAGTCGTTCGGAAATGTCGTTCGGAAAACATGGGTCAGAAATACCAACCATCGCTCTCGACTGCTGTAGAAAGTATCGGAAACTGTTATTCCGTAATACTGAATTTTGAAGGGTGAAAAGTCGGTAACACAATTCCTTCCCTTGCCCGACCGACCGACCGACCTTCAGGGAGCCTTTGGTCGGGGTGTCGCGCGCCTCCTGGGGACGACTACACCTGCTGCAGGAAATACTCAGCGTTCCTCCCACGATATATACTTGCCTCAGGTTTTAAGTTGAGATTGTGGATCACGCCAAGGTCTTAGAGTTTAGTATATTTATTGATATTTTCTTCAAGATACGACAAAGTTTCAGAAAAATATCGACGCCTTTTTGTATACCAAGACGTTTATATTGAATCTTTTCTTTAATTTGCGAATCTTTTAGAACCTGGGCACTGAGAAAAATATTGTAAGGCCTTTTTGTGTCGCCCAGTTTTTATTCAGAAACAATAGTGTAGACAGAAGCAGACTACATAACTATCTTTACCCAAGACACTCATTATAAATCCGTAGCCGGAGAAATTGACCGGTTCAGGCTGGTAAATTCTGGTACCTGTTTAGAGTTGCTCCTGGCTCAAAAAATACTAATCTGTCTGATACAAAAAAATATTAATCCGCCTCGTCTGGTTTTCGTGAAGTCTATACTGTGAGTGTTAATAGAAAACCTCCTTGTATATAACAGTATTCAGCAACACGAGACAGTGCTGTACGGGGATACATTGTTTTAAATTCATTGAGTAAACGTGGATATTGATTTCACCCGCATTAAATTTTTTACAAATACTTTAATATGGATGCTTAATACAGCGAATGCAATAAGCGCTAGTGGTAAAAGTTTATTATGGATACAAAATAATAATTGTAATTTACAGTACTATATAGATGCTAAATAACTGTAGTAAATAAGGAATACCGGAGATATGGCTTCAGAAATTAATTATATCTGAGGACTCTTAGGTTAAGTTAGGTTAGGACTGCACAGGTGGTGGAGCGAGTTTGCCCTTATTTGGGATTTTTCTCGGTATCCCTAGAAAATAAAAGCGACTTGTACGCCCAGCAGCCAGATAACCGCCTCCTCGGTCAGTCAAGTGCTGGAAACTCTTACTGTAGAACATAACCGTATCCCGTCAAGAGGTGTACTGCATGTTTGGTGACTACAGAATTGATGATTGATGTAGCTGGGGTCCGTCTGTTTACAGTAAACAGTTGATAGTGATGTGTTGAAGGAGTTAATGTTTGGGTTGATGTGGTTTGCTGGATGACTGGTTCAAGTGGAGCCAATTGTAATAGGCCCTGACCTGCCCTGACCTAACCTGAACCCTGACTCAATCTAAACCTAACCTAACCTTATTGAGCCCATAACGGAAATGTGATGTGCTGCTGTGGTGTGTGGAAGATCTTTAATGAATGAATAAAAGAAACATATGCACAAGGAATGTGACTAGACAAGAAGTGAGTCATCCTCAGACCCAGTGTGGCAACTTTGTCATTGTCGGATATAAGCTGTGGGAATGGTCATCGTCTGTGGGGGGGGCTGTGTAAAAGGGCGTGGGTGTAGTTGTGGGCTGTGAAATGTGGTGTGGGTATATTGTGGGCTGTCTTAAAGTGGTGTGGTGTGGGTTGGTATTGCTTAATGCGGTTGACGTAATAAAATATGTAGTATTGCATGGTATAATATGGTTTGTGTGGTGTGGGTTATGTAGCCTTGTGTGGGTCATATGGTGGTGAGGTAAGCACCCATGTAGCCTGCTGTTGTGGGTCGTATAGAGTGGTGTGGGTCAAGTAAGATGGTGTAGTGTGGGCGGTATAACAAGGTGTGGGTAATATAACAAGGTGTCGGGTTATGTAGAGTGTGGGTCAAGTAGCATCAAGGTGTTGGGTCATGGGTTGGTGTGGGTCAAGTAGCGTCAAGGTGTGGGTCACGGGTTGGTGTGGGTCAAGTAGCATCAAGGTGTCGGGTCATGGGTTGGTGTGGTTCAAGTAGCATCAAGGTGTCGGGTCATGTAGAGTGTGGGTCAGTAGCAAGGTGTGGGTCACGGGTTGGTGTGGTCCAAGTGTCAAGGTGTGGGTCATGGGTTGGTGTGGGCCCTCACCTAGCAGCAGCACCCCATAGGACAGGTGAGGTGAGTCAATGGGAAAACCTGAAGTATGAGAGACTGAAGGTGACCTCAACGCCGACCAGAGAGTGAACCCCTTCCCCTCCTCCCACTCTACTCCCTCCTCCTATCCTCCTCCCCCGTTCCTCCTCCTCAGGCTGGCTGGCTGGCTGAGTCTTACCACTGGCCTGCACATCCCTCCCTATTGGCCTGAACATAAGAATGGAGGAAACTGCACGGGGCCTATTGGCCCATACTGGGCAGTCCCATTTACACCCAACCCCTATCGCTCATATAACCATCCAACCTATGTTTGAAGCTATCCAGCGTATTCGAGTTACTGATGATGTTTGGTAACTTGTTCCACTCGTCCACTACTCTATTTCCAAACCGATGTTTACCTATTTCGCGTCTAAATCTAAATTTGTCTAATTTAAAACCATTGTTACGAGTTCGCTCCTGGTTGGATAGTTTGAGAACCTTTGTAATGTCCTTTGCTTGCTCTGACTCCCATTTATACACCTCTATCATGTCGCCCCACACTCTACGTCTCTCGAGGAGTGCAAATTAAACACTTTAACCTGTCTCTGTATTCAAGGTTCCTAATGCGGGATTAGTCTTGTCATTCTCCTCTGAATTTTTTCCAAGGATTCTATATCCATTCTGTAATACGGTGACCAGCATTGAACTGCGTAATCAGTGAGGTCTCACTAGCGCAAGATATAGTTTTAAGATGACCTCGCTAGTCTTGTAACTAACACTCCTTTCTATGAACCCAAGTTCTTTATTAGCATTGTTTCGAGCAAATACACATTGTTTACTTGGCTTAAGATTCCTACTTATCATTACTTCTAAATCTCTCTCTCGCAGTCGGATTTCTCAATAACATCGTTGTTCATCTGGTATCTGGTTTCCCCGTTTACATCTCCTAGACTTAAGTACTTTACATTTGTCCACATTGAATGTCATCTGCCATTTTTTCAGACTATTCGAAAATTTTTTTTAGATCTTCCTCTAGTTTTGAGGCTTCCTTCCCCTGCCCTACGCATCTTCCCCATCCCGGCCCGACCTCCTCCTCCTCACCACCTAACTGTTATCCTCATCTCAGGTAATATTTCTCAAGTCACGATGATAAACAAGACACAATACCCCTCCCTATCCCCCCTTGCCCTTCCTACCCTCTCCCTACCCCTCCCTACCCCCTCCCTACCCCCTTGCCTCCCTACCCCCCTTGCCCTCCCTACCCCCCCTTGCCCCTCCCTACCCCCTTGCCCCTCCCTTGCCCCTCCCCTATCCCCCCTTGCCCCTCCCTACCCTCTCCACCCCTCCCTACCCCCCTTGTCCCTCCCCTATCCCTCCCACACCCCTCTCGCCCCTCTTGTGTGTCCCATGCTATCACTTCCTCTCTCTCTCTCTCTCTCTCCTCTCTCTCTCTCTCTCTCTCTCTTATGTGGCTATTATCTTGGTGGGTAGGTGGAGGGTGAGTGAGGAAGAGGAGGGAGAGGTGAGAGGTGAGGGAGAGAAGGAAGAATGGTGAGAGGTGAGGGAGGGAAGGAGGGAGAGTGAGAGGTGAAGGATGCAAATAGCGCTGAGTGGTTGTCATGCCTGGGAACTG